GCAAATACCAGTGTATCAAGCCACTGAACTCAGCAAACCAATATCACTTCTTCACTTGACCACACCTAATGTCAGCAAGATCTATCAGCTCGGCCAACAAGTTGCTGAAACTTTCGAAGTAGACGTAAGTTTTGTCTGTGGAACACGCATGCGGAATCGCATTTCAACTACGAGGGCTAAGCAAAGAGTCTCCCGATGTACAGAAAGTTTTATTTGTTACACAAAAGTAAGTATTACATTTTCTCGAAGTATTCTCTACCAGCGTGCATGCACAGTTTTATGCGCATAAACTAATTGGTGAAACAGTTTGGTTATGCTGAAGCAGGTAACCCTTCGACCAATTCAATGAAGGCCTCCGTTGCAGCTGCTGGTGACTCGCATTGGATTCCACGCATCATGCACTGGACTTTTGGGAACACAAAAAAGTCAGATGGAGTCAGGTTTGGACTGTAAGAAGGGTGATCAACCTCCTAGATGTGTACCAGTCTCTGGTGCCTGTGTTTTGTTGTACGTGCGGTACAGTAGACACATGACCGGTTTTGGCCTCGAACACAGAAACAATCTGTTTCGCCACACTGAGCTCGTGTCGAAATTTCTGAGACGTCGCCCCATCAACCGATGTCCACTGTGCCTATTGCTACTTGATCTCTGGGTCGAAACTGTACACCCAGGTCTCATAACCACTGATCATCTCCCAAACTCCATTATAACGTCCACCATCAAACCAGAAAGTACGGTGCCGCAACAGTTCACCCGAACTGCTTTTGGTTCCTCACTGAACAGCGCTCACAAAATTTTCTGAGGCCGAGCTTCTCATGTAGGATGGTGCGGATTGATTTCGATGAGATCCCAATGGCATTCGTCAGCTGTGACACTGTCCTCCGCGCATCCTCTTCCACCATCACTTGCACAACAGTAATGTTGTTCGTTGTGGTGGCCTCCACAGGTCAACCATGCTGTAAGAAGCTTTATCGTATGATTGAAATTACGTACACCAGACCTACCGGTACTCCGTTAAAAACCCGACAATTCATGTGCGGCCCTAACCAACTCCCAGTTTGATTACCTTTGCCCACCGGATCGGAACTCGCTACGTTCCCCCTCCATGGCCATTCAATTGCACTTTTACGCATTTCCCCTATGATTACCTAATCGCTCCTCATAGCAACTTTCGTGTTAATTATCGTGACCCGCTCTTCGTTCAACCTGTTATCCCAATCTATTATCTCCAATCCACATGGAAACCGTTTCGTGATGATTGTCGTAATTATTGTCCTATTATCGTAATCCATTATCGGTATCAATTATCTCGACCCGACATAGAAGCTACCTCGTGTTATTGTGGCCACCTGCTCATCACCCACCCACTAGGATTATCCTACCGTCTTCACTGTTGTCACTGTTATTCTTTCTCGCACATGCTACCACCCGTCTTATGTGTTTAACCTTCCCAGACACCCTCCTCGTGTTCGTTGTCTATTCTTTCAATTACACCGTGATTACGGTTGCCGTCTGTCGCCCTACCCCCCCTTCCGACTTTGGTGCCACATTGCTTTCCTATCCCTGTGATTGATCCTCACCACCCTTTAAATAGCACTGTCTCTATATCCACATCGAATTCCTCCTCTGACTTCCAAGAGAGTGGTTTCCTGGCACGTTTGCTCTTGTCGTATTGAACCGATAGTTCTGTTCAGACCGGGTTGCCCCTAATTTGAGGTATACCATTGTATTTCCATTGATTCATGATTCAGTATGCAGTACATGTAGGCTTCCCAACCTTGTGTTCTGACACGAATTCGGGGTTTCGGTAGCTGCGAATCACTCTGCCATCGGACGTCAATCTGGTACACACATCGAGTCTCATTATCCAGGGACCGTCTGCTTCGTTTCAATTCCGCAAACTACTCAAATACAGTGCTTCTTGAAGACATATGATCATCAAAGGCAGATCGCAAAACGATCAACACCCTGCTGCTGCTTTAGACCGCATTTGTAGTCGTAGAAAATCATCGCCCTTCAGTGACATCAACTGAGTTCCATCCTTACAGTTCGAGTATAGCGACCCTTATGACTTGTAAGCTGTACTCAGCTGTTGATATTTGGTTGTGAGTTGCAATCACTGAACAATATTCAGAACAGATTACAGTTCACGTTTTCCTTGCCCGTTAATTTGCACCTCGTACGTGTACTGCGTACCTGGAAACAGTTTGCTCAGCCCTCGTATAGCCCTGCGTTTTGCGGTTCCAATCTCGCTTCGCTCACCGTATGTCCAACTATTCGATATTTAATGCTCGCGGTGCTGCTGGCGTCGGGTGTTAAAACTGAGCGCTCTGTTCTTGACCCCGGTGTATCGCTTGAGGGTTCAGAGCGGGTCATCAGCAACAGAAGGGAGCGTCGCTACTCACTTGTCGTGTATGCGTGCACGTCAAACGAATACAATTAACCAGTAATGAAGGATGGCGTCCAGAATAACCTCTAGATTGCTGCAGTGTTTGCTCAACGGACATCGTTGTTGTCGCCGGCTCCTTCGACGCATATGTGGGATCCCCGGATGAATCAGAAAGGTGTCTAAACAACGTACAATCAATTCCATCCAAACGAACGAATGGTTTAAGTCTTTTGATACGGACGATGCTCTGTTATGAGCCAGACGCTGTCTGGCCTTGATAACCAACAAGAACAAAGTAACCGGAAAATAATATCAACAATACAACGTGAGTCACAATCACAAACCGGCTTTCAAAGCGAAGCTCATTTATTGTCTATCGATTCAAACACTTTCCGAAGGAATCAAAGAACATTCAAAATTGACCAAAGTAGCAGTTCAAGCATAATTCAAAACAACGATGGATGCAAGCAGACGATAAAAGCACAGCCGGTAGATTTCGTTGTCCACTTATAACCTATTGAACGTCCACAGAACTTTGGAAAGCGAGAAGAATGTGGTCTTTGGTAAAAGTGGCAATCAATGACGATTGGTCAGGAGTACGGGTGGTGTATGTAAGCAAGTAGTGAGATACTCAAAGACTACGATGGCGCATCGATACAAAGATGTCTTGAGCGATGACAAGAACACTCAAAGTACAGTTCAACTGACCTTATTCATAAAATTTGCCTCGAAGTGACAACTTTTACCACGGAGGCATCGGCCATATTTTCACTCTTCGCTCAACACTGGATCACAGGCAATCATTTTGTAAACCCACGATTTCTTTCATCCTTCATCTAAAATCGGCCTTCGATTAAGGCGATCGTATGACAGTTAGGTGCAGCCTCTTCTCGAAAGATATGCCGGACGAGGTTACTTTATTATTATGATGCTGTTATGGGAACGGCCGAGGCCGCAATCGAACTTGGAACAAAATGGGGTGCTTATCCGCGTTGATTTCTATCCCTGGTGTGGTCGCAATACTCTCACCAAAGATTATGCAAGATGAGTTTATCACAACAGGCACCATAGGAACTTGAATGGCGCAAACAGTGTAGCCCGGCACATCAGCTGTTATAGTCACGACTACAGAGTAGTGACATATCACGTTGTCTATGCATCGATTACTCCTTTCTGCAAACTCTCTCTCAACAACTTTGTCATTTCAGTCAGTACTATTTCTTTTTTTTAAAATAATCCAGACTGCTTAGTGCATCTATTCAGGAAATTGTTTTTTCGGTTGTTAATGGGCTCGCACTTGTCTACCTCAGTTCAAGCTGAGTATTAGCTTCTTGACTTGTCGTAATGTACACTTAAATAACTAGTGCATCGCTACCAACGAATTTGTTGGCGCTCCAAAACCACGACCATGGCTTCATGATTTGGCAGGCAACGATGAAAAAATACCAATAAAATTATCTCGTTCTTTTTATTCTGCAAGGTCACTTACGTGCCCCCTATTCGGTTGCTGTCTTTCGATTACCCATCTGATCGGTCAATAAGACAAGAGTAAAGTTCTGAGAAACACAGCGGTAAAAATATAGGATTCAGGTAAAAGAAATATGCGTAGAAAGTCAGTAGACGTACCAACTTTACTGTTTCCATCAAGGCGCCACTTTACCTTAGTGTCTCCAATGGTTGGTTTGGTTGAGGATGAGGACTGAAAAAGGAAAGCCTTGATTTTCGTCCAACTTCTGTCTGCCTCCGCTCACCTAGCTGTGATACGGTTCATAAGGCAAACTTTCTTATATCTACTCTGAATTCGCCACGGCGTGAGAACCAAAGTGGATCGGGTAATAATTACTCTGAAGAGGGGGTTTTAGATTTCAGAATCCTGACTTTCAGTTGACTGAATAATCGAATAACACTACTAAAAAATGATTGGAGAGAATTATAACCATATTATACGAGTGTGAAAACACGTGATGAATGAAGAAGGTAAGCTCTACTCACGAATTTTTCTGAATTAGATTGCTCCTACTTCCGTCGTGGGAACTGCTCTCAGATTGATTTTGATGAAGGATCTCGTGGAGAAGGCGTCGTTCACCCCTACGACGACTGATGATCATATTTGAGGTGACATTCAAATCCTCTCCATCCACTTTGCTTCGATTACCGAGGAGCAGTTTTGCTCGTCGTTTCTGCCAGTCATTCACTAGTCGCTCCAGCTCTGGATCAACTTCGGAACCACTGCGACGGATCACTTTCAATATGCCACCCATGTAGGGAAGATCCGCGTCGGTCCACAAAGTAATTGCCTTACCGCGATGTCCAGCACGCCCAGTGCGACCAACCCGATGAATATATTCTTCTTTTGATGGAGGCATATCATAGTTGACAACCATACTCACGCCCTTCGATCGGGGATAGGAGTAAGAACAAATTGAAAACATTTTAACCAAGTGATATATTGAACCGGGATCGCGTACAACCGAATAAACGGACAGTTTTACATCAAAATCATCATCATACACTGACAAAGAATGAAAAACGTCTACATCAACGCAACTAAACCCGCGATAGATGAAACGCAAACCTAATTATGTAAGATGGATAAGGAATCGATTGATGATAAAAAACGACAAGCAGAAAACCTGAAAAACCCGAACTGGGTAGATTGTAGGTGGTCTTTGCGCCTCCCCATTGCGCCAAGTAAACGACACCCCCAAAAAACGATAAGAACGGATAGACAGAAGGCGGTTGTGTATCGGGCTCACTAATTATAGTGGCTAGTAAGGCAGTTAACGCTTAGCTGTTAAACAGTAAGCATAGATTGAGAAACATTATGAATGTTTTCGTTTTTGAAGTCCCACAAAACATGAATGGAACTATTGCTCGGCTTCCAGTTCTAGTTTTCACAACCATTAGCCTTGCGCCGAAGTTCAACGGTTATGGCTGATATCTTCCGGCTACCTGATTGGTCACCCAAAGAGAAGAGGGTGAATGGAGGAGATAATAGGTAGGAATA